AAAGTGCAAACATTCATTCAACAATATGTATTCCAAGATGGCATCATTGTATCAATCTTTTATTACTTAAATTATCAATATATTTGGGAGATTTCAACCATTGACAGTAAAGTGAAATTATGTTTTGTTACAAATCTTATTTTTAAAAAAACGCCCTACTTTAACAGGCATTCTAAAGCCAAATACTTTGGTTGCCAGAAAGATGAAACAAAGACAGAAAGTACTGGACTTATTTGTAGGTCAGACAACATCTGTGGAAAGAGGAAAAAATTTAATATTTCTGGCTGCTGACCTTTCATCAAAATTCCAGTTCTGATAGAAGTATGTTGTCCTCAAACACTAACTCCATTTCTCTTTCTACTGATGTTCCCTGATCTACTGAGTATTTCCAGCATTACTTGTTTTATAATAGCAATTCCACACTTTCAATTCAAGGAAAACTGTAACGTTGCATCTGGTGCTGCTAGATAAACTAACGTAACCCATTACTGTTGAAGCAGGTGTATCTGAATCCAAATCTGTCATTATACTTCGCTTTTTGCTTAGGCAATTGAAGAGTAGTCCATGGAAACGTTAGCTAATTTCCCCCTCTCGCCTCACGTAACCCCACTCTGACACGGACACACTCATATATGCACACACAGACACATATGAATACACATATGCGCATGTGCACACACACATGCACACTCATACATTAAGGTTATATTGAAGTGGATGCCAAACCCCTTGTTACAATTAACTCATTCAGCACAGATTGGCTGGAGACTGCTAGATCTCACTGACTTCTATGGCTTAGCTCTAGACTGTGAATTTGTTTTAAAGACCAAACAAATCCCTCTCCTCAATCTGTCCCGCACAGTTCTGTCAAGAGACAATTTCTAGCATCCGTGATGGCTCTACCATTGGAATGTGTGGCAAGTAGTCAATCATAACTTCCAAATCCAGGTATATTCTACTCATTTCCTTATTTTTGGAAGACAGTTGTATTTTGGCTCCTTTTCCAGACCTCAAAACTCAAGAAGATTCCAAACTTTGCATTTAGTGCTAGATGAGGAACTCCATTGCAGTTGAGATAGACTTACGTGAATGTCAGGCAGGTCCAGAACTCAAACTCATGAATCTGCAACCTCTTGTTTGCTGAGTTTGTTCATATGATTAAACTTGCACTGCTAACTTCACTGGACAAGTAGATACAGTTTACAATGAAGCCTCTACGTTTGACAGTCTGATTAGCCACACGCAATTTAAAATAATATTGAACTCAAGTCATGTCCCAGTTTTGTTGCAGTAAATTAGGAAGGAAGATTTCCTGGTTAAAACCATTCAGATAAGTTGCAAGTCAGTCATTACACTATCATGTGCTGGACTTGATGTAATTATTCATGAAAAGTGTCTTGGTCGGTTTGATCTTTTGGGCAAATTGCTGGCAGCCCATCTTATATCCTGAATGCGGAACTGCTGGAAATCACACTCATTTGTTGAAGAAAGTTTGTGCACTGAACCTACCTTGAAAGCAAGACAACAGGAGAGATTATGCAATGTGGCAATCTGTGTTAAGAGGGAAAAATGTTAATGTACCCTTCATAAGGATAATTTCTGTGATCTTTAATCTGCTTGTCGGATTTAGATGTATAAGTGTAAAGCAGGGCATTTTGCACTAAGTATTCCCTGATATTTCACAGATATTGACTCAGACCTCAATCGAACAATGTTCAGCCTGACACAGTTGGAAAACTGGCTTTGACATTGTTTCAGCCACTTGCATTACAGTATGTATATAAAAAAAAGTTCTGTTTGTGGAATCCAAAGACATTTGTGTGGAGCACCTCCTGGAGCAGGTGGGATTTGAACTCGGGCCTTCTGGCCCAGAGGCAGGAATACTAACACTGCACCACAAGAGCTCTCAATAGATGGTTTAAGTTTTTTAATTGCCTGTAAATTGTCCTGGAAGCAGCTATGAATCAAATTATCTGCAGCCAATTAACAATGGTAAGAAGCACAAGGATATTCATTATTGATATATTGGGTATATGTATGCTTTCTCTGTGAACTGAACACAATAAGATATGCAGAAGATGTGAGATAGTAAGTTGCAGAATAATCAATGTGACATATACAGGAATTAGTATTGATCGTTATTTTAAATGCCTGTTTTCTCTGATCCATCATTAAATAATATTGATGGACCATATATCATAGGCAATTAATTACAGAAGTGTGATTACACAGGGGGCTGCCATTGGACTGATCATGTCTGCATCTGCTCTTCACATGAGCATGATTACCTAATGTCACCCTTCTGCTTTTTCTCTATACCCTTGCACAATATTTTTAACCAAATAATCAATGAATATCCTTTTGGGTGGCTCAATCAAATCTGCCCTCCCCACAGTTGCAGTCAGTGCATTCCTTACCCTGAATATTCACTGCATGAAAATACTATTGTTCACCTCACATTTGCTGCTTTTGTAAATCACTTTAAATTTGTACCCTCTGGTTCTCCTTCCTTCTCTTGTTCAAGTGCCTTCTTTAAGTTGGGCTAAGGTCATTTGCTTTAGTAGTAAGGACTCGGGCATCCTAAGCATGTGGCCAGCCAGCGGAATTGGTTTTGGATGATCATGGCCTCGATGCTGGTGCTGTTAGCTGCTTCAAGGACAGGGGTGTTCGTTTGCCTGTCCTCCCAACTGATGTAAATAATCCATCTCAGATAGTGTGCATGATGCTTCTCCAGGGTTTTGAGGTGATGTCTCTCTTTGTAGTTTTGGTTTCGGAGCCAACATGTAAATGCCATACAAAAGCAAAACATTGAGGCTGCTGGAAACCTGAAACAGAAGCAGAAACTTCTCTGACAAAATCCATCCAAGACACTGTCACCTGGCTTAGAACCCTATAACCTGAGACAATACCAGAGAACACCCTGATATTGCACTGTGTTCTGAAAGTTGACTGTAGTGGTGAGAATCTGTTTTGCGTAATTGCACAGATGTGGCTAATTATTCTATACTTATCCTCTGACAAAGTGCTTAACAAATCCCTTGAATGAATGAAGAAAGCTCTGAATCGTGATCCTTTAAGACATGTACCTTGATATTAAAACTTCTGGACTGATCAACTGTGAACAGACAATAGCCAATCCACTGATTTGCAGGCTCTGCTCTTAGCAAAAGTCAGGCTTCTCTCAGTGCAAACGTTTTGGTATTTGAAACCAATGGTCATGACTTCAAGTGATATTCAGAGACTTGAACAGATAGTTCATGCTGATAAATTCAGCGCATTATTTACAAAGTACACAATTTTTGGGAATGCCAATTTTGCACTGAGTTGTTAAACTGTGGCTCCTCTATCCTTGCAGATGTTTGCAAGAGATTCCAAGCCATAATTTGAACCAGAGTAGGGGAGTTACCCTGACTATTCTGGTCAATATTCTCAACTCCCCATTGCAACAAAATTTCTGGTCACTGCTGTTTGTGGAAGAGTACAATTGGGCTATGTTCTAAATCTGCATTATATAGTGTACTCCAAAAGTGCTTAATTGGTTATAGTATGTCATTGTAACCTTTAATTCCTTACTGCAATTATTCATACAGCATAGCTTCCAGTAACCACCCTGGGCTGATGCTTGTGTTGAAAGTATTATGGATTAAAAAGAGCTTCCATTCTTGGAAAGGACTGGGGCCTATCACTTTTACCTATGATGTGTCTATGTATGGAAAGAGCAACATAAGTTACTGACAGCATGAGACCTCTTTAAAATATCACGACATGAGACTATGCTGCAACCTGACCTTGAGAGTCTGTCTGTAGAGCAATGAATGTGTGTGTGAGAGATATGAAAGGACATAAGAAAGGTAGTAATGATTCAGAGTTTGGGGGAAACATTTAACTTTTCCCTTCAGTACTTGTACAATGCATTCTGGCCTAGTGTTGTTCAAGATGGCATCTTCAAATGCAGTCGTACTTCAGAAAGTATGTCAAGTTCCTGGAGGTTTTTTGGAATAGTATCAGGGTACAGGGACTTTTGTCATATGAAAACCTTGGGATTGCTCTTAATGCAGAGTTCAAGGAAAGAATTAACTCAAGATACTTGAAATGAAGTGTTTTGACAGAGTAAATAAGGAGGGTCTGTTTCTGTTGGTAGGTAAGTCAGTGACAAAAAGGCACAAATTTAGGAGAAATGACTTTTTTTTCCTTATACAAACAGTTATGATTTGAGCGTATTGCCTGATAAGTGGATTGAAAAAGATTCAATAGTAACATTCGAAAGGAAATTGAATATATACTTGAAAAAGAAAATTATGCACAGGTCTGGATGTGATTAGACAGGTCTTTAAAAGAACCGGTACAGACACGGTGAGCTTCGATGTAGTATGATTCTATGATAATATAAGTTTGAAATTGTCTGTTTTAATATACATCAGTTTATAGTTACAAATGCAGGTGGTAGATCATTTTGGCTGTTTGGTGACTTTTTTCAGTTTTTTATGCTGTGGTGTGCCTGCTTCATGCACAACAGATTTGATCATTGCTGTTGAACTGAGCTGTCGGAGGAGATATAATCCCTGGGTATCAATGAGATCCTGCCTATGAGGAGTCCGGCTACACAACACATCCATGTTAACACATTGTGGAAAGTGAAGGAGCTTCAGCTATTGAATCAGCTGTCGTGGCTATTTACTGGTCCATGACTACGAAAAACCGAGCCATTAAAAATGTTGAATAAATAATATAAGCTATTTACATGTTGAAAGTGGAGAGCTTGAGAGTTTGTGAATTTTTCTAATGTATCTCTTTTCAAACATGAAGGCTCAATAATGCTTTATATTAAGAAGAAAAATAAACTTAAACACTTTGAGCATTTGGTATCAACAGGAATATTTTATATCTGTGATTTTGTGCATTTAATAATCAGTTTAGATATAGGTATTGTACAGAAAACACAATTTGTCTGGCTGTGATCACTATACCGAATTCAGTTTATTTTCAATCCAACAGAGAGGGAATTTGACCCCAACAGACATTGTGGTGTCATGGATCCTGAGACCAAGAAACCTTGTACAAGGTCACTCACATGCAAGGTATGTGTTTTGCTCAGAATGATTCTTTGGCTTCTTGATATTTGCAATGGAATTTTGGAATGTATACAATTTTGCAGCTTGTTATTGAACGTATATGTGAATATCAGTGTTATATTCACATAAATAAAGTTTGAGTTTGAAATCGTTAACAAAGCAAAAGCTACTTCACATCAAAAATGTTTGAAGATTTCAACAAATGCTGGGGCATGCTATTTACAGCTAAGCTAAATAGCTTCATATTTGCAAGTGTCATTTCAATTGTATCTGATGTGGCTTCTATTTGCTTGCTTTTGCACAGACTCATTCACTTAATTATCGGAGAGCGGTACCAGGACGAAGAAAACAGTTTGACATTCTTCTTGCTGAACACAAAGCTCGCTCAAAGGAGAAAGAAACTGTAAAAGACAAGGAACACCTACAAGTGTCAAAAGAATCTCATCAGAGTCCGTCTATGCCTCCACAAGAGCAAGTTGCAGTACCTTTAACTAACCCTGGTTTGGAGCATAAAGTTACATCGCCAGCAAAATCAAGACTGCTGAATACTGCCCTTGCCAGGTGAGTTGCAACATGATTTTCATTGTTTACAATTGTCAACATTGAACTAGCTTAACCATTCAACAAGTTTATCCTGAGAGTGCAAGCTTCATCCTGTATCATGTATATGTATGTGCGTGTGCATGCACACCCTTCTGCGTTCAGTGGCATTCACAAATTCAGATATCACATGAGAATCCCAGAATAACATGTATAATTAAGGACAGTGATCTAATCAGGAAAGGGGAAAATCTGTAACAAAACAGTGGTATTTCATTTTCTTGCATTGCATGCAGCATATGTATAAAAACTTCTTTCCATATAACTTTTAATAATGTATTGATTGTAATTAAAAATGTATCCTGTACAAATAGTGTTTTGAGACATTTCCAAAACATCAAAATTTAAAGATGTTTACTTGTACACTCTGTCAATAAAAATTGTCTAAAAGCTGCCACTGGTTGAAAACTGGACATGTGTAGAATATGCCATGCATCAATTATATTTGATTTATTTGGACAGTTTAACTTGGTGTTGCACACGTTATCTGTTCCACTGCTTGCCATCAGTCTGTTTCCATGCTCCAGAGACCCTTGACCCCACACAACCCGGATTGGACTGAACAACCCAATGCCCAAATACACCCAATTCAAAATTTGGCAAAATCCAAAATTTAGCATATCCTCACTCCCAAATAAACATTCCTGTGTGGTTTAGCCAGTTAATCACTTGAAATAAGTAACACAATGAATATTTTATTTGGAGGTAACTTTTCACAAATTATTATTATATATCAATCATTTTTCATCACTAATCAAAAATTTCTAAATAATTATGTAATGATTTGGTGCCAAATCACTTGTATCTGAACAAAATGCACATTTATTAGGCGATTCAGCATATCATAGGTTCTAATATTTAAATTCAATAATGCCTTGGGTGAAGCTTCTATGGATTCCATGTTGCTTTGAGAGCGTTGTCATTCACGTGATATTTCCATTGCTGTGAGCTGTACATTACCCTCAGGCTGCTGCTTTTACTTCACCACTTCTATTTATCGCAGAGAATTACTGCTGACTGTTCTGTCTGTCTTAAAGTGTGTCTTCAGGAGATTTTAAAATACGTGATGAAAAGGTGTTACTTTCTTTAGCTTGTATGAATGCTGACTTCAGATTTTATGCAAATTGCAGGCAGACCTTTCCTGTTACTGGTAGAAATTGAGGTTGACATTTCTCACTGAGCAGTAGTTTTTTTTTGTGAAAGTCCTGTGGTGGGATGGTTAGCTCATCCATCAGTTTGTAGAATGCATACCAATGTTCTCAAATGATTCATGTAGTGAACTTCCAGTTAACTAAGGATTGGCGAGTTAAGTTCGGATAGAGAGATGTTCTATCCGAGGACGTTCAGTTAGATACTGTTGTGGAGAAAGTGTGGCAAGATGGTAACAGCGGTATTGTTGTTGGACTATAATCCAGAGGACTAGGCTAATGTTTTAGGAACTAGCAAGCCTCACAGTTTTAAGGGCAGTTAGGGATGAACAACAAATGCTAACCTTGCCAGTGACCCACATCCAATAACATATTTTTAAAAGAAAGTAGGATTGCTGTCACGGTTATTTTGAATTGATTCATTTGAGGTCTGTGTTGAGTTAACCAAGACCCTGAAAAAGGATCCCTGCTAACCAAGAACTTTCCTTATGTTATGCATTGCAAAAATGATTTTCACTCTTCCACAGGAAGCATTACTTTGTACCAGGAGTAAAGAACAGGAACAAAGATCTATTGAATAACAGAGGAGTGCTACACTTAGATTGTAGTAGTTACTAAAAAAAACAATATATCTGTTCCATTCTGATGAATTTCTGCTCATTTTGGGGGTCACATCAGTAGCACAATGAAATAATTGCAAACATCAAAACTGTTTTGGTGCTTTCTATTGAGCAACACATAAAATATAAGGGAACAAAGAAGTTGAAATACTTGTTTTCATAGAAGATGTAATAACCCTCCTTCAAATAGAATTTACTAGCTTCCTTCTCTCCATAGACTATATTGAGGAACCAATTCTGGGTTGTAAGCTTTTTTTTAATCTAATGCACCTTCTGCGTTTATAAAACAATGTACAAAAGCTGTTTGCATCCTTCTTCAAATTATTTTTTTTTTAAAAGCCAAGTCATGTTCAGGCAATTCCACCTTAAACAAGTTGATCCCTGGGAATATTCATCCATTAATAGTAATCTAATATAGATTTTACTGATTAAATTGACAAATATTCTTATTTAGTTTGTATGATAAAAGAGCTTAGTAAGTTGGTACAGGTCAGCTGAGAAATGAAATGGCTCAGTGGTTAACACTGCTGCCTCACAGTACCAGGGACCCAGGTTTGATTCCACCCTCGGGAGACTGTCTGTGTGGAGTGTGCACATTCTCCCCATGTCTGCATGGGTTTCCTCCAAGTGCTCTGGTTTCCTCCCACAATGGCCATGCTAAATTGCCCATAGTGTTCAGGGATGTGTAGGTTAGGTGGATTAACCATGGGAAATGTAGGGTTACGGGGATAGGGTGGAGGTGGTGGGTGTGGGTGGGATGCTCTTTGGAGGGTCACTGTGAACTTGATAGTCTGAATGGCCTGCTTCCACATTGTTAGGGATTCTATGAATAATGCAGGAGATGGTCCCATGCTGGGATGTTGCAGTATGTCTCAAATGGACAGGGATCTAGAAACAGTCAATGCAAACTGATTTATGGGTGTGACTGAGCTTAATTTGAGTAATGATAACTCCTTGGTAAACAGTCCGTCTGTCAGTTAGTTTAAACTGCAGTGTTCTAAAGACGAGATTCGCTGCGCACCATTTTGTTCACTTCAGTGCCATCTCTGTTCTTTTAATGTCTGATATTTCAAACTCTTGTACCAGTATTAATAAAAATCACAAATGAAGTAATGTGATTTTTATTCATAACCTTCAAGTAATTGGAACACATTTGTTTATGTATTTGTGTTTTAATGGAGGTTGTGTTCAATAGAATTATGTATAAAAACACCAAAGCTGGGTTTCATTCTGTGGTGGTGTATTGAAGCCACAGCAATAAGTGAGGCCTTTGGTTTAATGCACAACTTCCACTGAGCTGATTGATTGATTGATTGTTTTTGCAAGGTGGTAGATGTTAGATATTTAAAAACTGTTTAAAGGTGGTTTAATAATGTCATAAAATATAAAACATAAAAATGGAGATGAACCTACATAAAACTTAGCAAATGCGCTGTTGAAGTATGCTGTGCCGTGTTAAGCTTCACAGTACAGGAGGACTGTTGAGATACTATTCAGGCTCGTGCACTGATTCAGTAGAATGGTGCCTGGTGTGAGGAGGTTCAGATTCAAAGAAAGGATAAAAACTTGAGGCTACACATGTTAGAATAAGGGAAATTCCAGGATGGTTCAGTGGAATTGTAGAAAGCTTTGTTAGAATGAGATAATCTAATTAAAAGTATACTGTTTTCACTGAATGAGAGGTCCAGAATAAGGAGAGTTACAAGCTGTGATCGCTAAACTGACTGCATGATTGAAAGGGAGACCATGTCGGTATCTAAGAATAGCTTAGATAAATCATTGAATGAAAGGTGAAAGAAAGTGTATGGAACCAAAGTGGAAGTAAGACTGCTGCTCATGTAGAAAATAAAGGCCCTCGTGGTTGAGCCATCTGTTTTTGTATTGCAATTTCATGGTAATCTCTGTTTCTTTTATTTTCAGTTGTCAGACCCTGCACCAAAATGTCTCTGTTTTAAGATCTGAAATGTAGCCTCGAATTAATAGAATATTTATCCATTGCTTTCAGCAGGGGTTCATCTATTGGCAGCTTAAGTAGTTTGGGCACTATATCCAACAGTGCAACAGTATTGGAATTGCCATTGCCCATAATTGGAGATTTAGCAAGCCGATTATCCAGTGATGAAGGAGAAATGGATGGTGCAGAGGAAGCCGAAAAACTGGACTGTCAATATTCGGGGCACCACCCAAGGCCACTTGGTGTATGTTGTTGTATTTTACTTCAGTAGCTTATGATTTGTTTTCAACACTTGAGTTTTATGTCTTTCAATCTCAAAATGTGTGGTTTAAAATAATTGCTTTGCATTGTTTTGTAGTATTGCACTTTTGGGAGTCGCTTGATGGGCAGAGGTTTCTATGTCTTTGACAGACGATGGGACCGTTTTCGACTGGCACTTAATTCAATGGTAGAAAAACACCTAAATTCACAGATGTGGAAGTGAGTCCAATATTCACCCTAGTTTATGAGGTTAATGTGAGAACAGTTTTGAACATGAAAGTTATATTTCAGCCCCTGATAAACACTTAATGAGCGTGTTGACGACTACTGTACTGAAGTCCTGAATTTTATGTAAAATGAATCTCAGAAGTGTCAAGTGTGCTTTCACCTGAATCTGGTCTGCAGTGTACATTTTATTTAACTTTCTAATGCGGATGGTTGAATTATCTAGACGTAACAAGGCTGATTCCAGTTCTGGTGAAAATGTGTTTTCAACTTCTTGGGTCAGTTGTCCATTGAACTATGATGGGTCTAATCAGTTCTCAAATAAGCCATTGATTGGGGGATCTTCAGTGTGTAATGGAATAACAGTGGGATGTTTCTGAGTAAATGAACTAAGTTGACCCAAAGACTTTTCACATCTGTGTTTTACCTTGTGAGTCAGAGGTAAGATTCTTTGTCTGGGAGAAGGAAGTCAGAGTAGGTTCAAAGCAGGGCTGAGATGGTGGAATATTAACTAGATTGACAATTCAGCAGATTAGAGGATACACTTACAGTATTGAAGTATATCTTGACTTAATATAGTAATCCTCTTTCTGGTCCTTTAATGAAGAATGATTGCACATAAGCATAACACCACATTAATATTGGATGTTTTCAGTGGTGACTACAACTGTGCAGATTATTCAAGTTCAAATGTTTGTTTTTCTTTATGATCTTTAATATCTGTGATCTCAACACCACACCTGTGCTTCTTCCAATAGAAGAACTCCCTAAGTGGATTTGTGCATTCATCTTCAAATCCGTAAACAAACACATTCCTATTGAGCTGCTGGTAGAATGCGGCTGTCAGGGCTGGGCTCTCAAGTGCTGACATGAGACTTTCAGTTTTTCCCTAGGTTGTTTGAGACAACAGAGAAAAGGTAAAAGTCATCATGTGCTTGACAGGCAAAGAGGGTTGTCAACCTCTATTGGATCTAAATCTGTCCCTGTTAGTGTTGGACAAGCACTTCAAGACCAGTTGAGCGACTTGTAGCAAGTAGGCTGGATGTTGAGCCTCAATTCCTTGTATCCTGCACAATATTTAATTGAAATGCAGATTCATCTTTGAAGAGTGCTCCTCCTCTGAGCCCATCAAGGTGTCTTCAATTGGACTTAGACAGGTGGTAACCTAAACATTACACCATCTGCCGGGCTCTGTTGCCTTGTGGTGGAGATGTCCTCTGAGTTATGGCCTCAAAGAAGTTATGGCTTCTAAACGTGGCTTTGTAGAAGTGTTCCTTATTTTTCAACAGATTAGAAACTGAGAAAATTTTCCCCTCCCCAGATTTGCTTAAATAAATGACCAATCTCAGCAAATGAACTTAAAATTGGTGTTCTATCTTTTATGGCAGAATTGTTGGTTCATTTTTACAAACGCACATATCTCAAGTAGAATTTTAAGAATAAAATTGTTTTTTCTTTCCCTTTTCAAACAACTTTAGGAAAATTCCTCCTGCAGCGGATAGCCCGATGCCATCTCCTGCAGCACCTGTTAACACAACATTTTCTGCATCAGTGCTACAGCCTTTGAGCAGCCCTTCAGCAGCTTATCTTGCTTCAAGTTCACCAATTACTCCGTCTTGTGTAATGACAGCCCCGGTTTTGTCGTCAACAGGATTTGCAACCACAGTGGACACCAATTCCATCATGTCATACACTGCTGCCTTTCCACAGGCAGCAACTGCATTTAATTTGATGGACTCTGGGTTCAAGGCCCCTTCGTTGTTATCACCAGTACCCATGGTCATACCTTCCCCATCACTCAGTAAACCACTGAAAACAAAAACCAGCAGATCCTCCAAAGTTAAGGACTTATCTTCACGCAGCGACAAGGGCTCGTGTAATAAGAGGAAGAAACCACCTCCGCCACTGCCTCCTGCCACCTCCCCATTTCCATCGTCATTACAGACTTCATCTTCAACGTCATCATTTTCAGGGTCGCACAAAAGGAACTGCGTGTTGAACCCTGGCACCACATTGAATTCATTTCCTGCAACATCTTCGTACAGCGCAATGTCTGTGCACAATACGAACAACGGAACCAATGCACTTAGTGCCAAAATAGACTCCTCAGGACGGACTTCCTTGCCTGGCAGCTCAACAGACTCCATTAAACACATGAGCATGGTTGTGAGCAGTATTGACCCCACTCTGTCTGTTTCTTCCCTGGTGCACCACGCAGGGGACCATGCACTAGCAGCACACAGTACAATGTCTTCGCTGCCCCTTCCTTTTGACAAGTCAGAGGGGAAAAAGCGTAAAAACTCTAGTTCCAGTAGTAGATCCAGCAAAATAACCAAAATGCCTGGTATGAACAGTGTTCACAAAAGAAGTGCTGCCAATGTTATGTCTTCAGTCACAGAATCTAACAATTCTGTCTCTCGCCAGGTAAGAATTCTGGTTTTAATTTTTTTGTGCAAAACTTGTCCTAATTCGGGACAGTTAAAGAGTTTGCCTTTTTTGTGCTTCGGTGCATTACTAAAAGATCACTGATGCTTATGTGATTTTATGTGCCAGTCAACTATCACATTTCTTGTATTGCAAAAGTGATGTAAAATAAATATTTATTTGAAAAATGCCTTGGAATGTCCTAAGGCTATTTAAAGGTGCAAAACAAATGCACATTTTTGCTTTTATTCAGTGAAGCTTAAGATGTAACTTTTAAATTGGTTCTGTTAAATTTCATTTAAGTGATGTGGGTAAGACTGGTAAGACCAGTATTCATTGCCCACCCCAAATTGCCTTGAAAAAAAGATAATGATGAACTGCCTGCTTTAACAAACTAAATGGCTTGCTGCACTTCACGGGGCGATTAAGAGTCAATCCACATTGCTGAGAGTCTGGAGTCACATGTATGTCAGACCTGGTCTGTGCAGATTTCCTCCCCTGATAGAAATGAGTGAACCAAATTTAATGACAGACTGGTAGCTTCGCAATCACCATTACCGGTACGATCTTTTTATTGTAGATATATTTAATTAACTGAATTTTAAATTCCCAACCTGCCATGGTGGGAACTAAAACACTATTTGGATCGTTGTCCACTCCTTTGAGTTTCTAGTTTAGGGCGTAACCACTAAGTTAATATAATCATAATTTTCAATATTCAACAGTTCTTAGTATTTTGATTTAGTACTTAGACAACAATGACACAACAGCACTAAGAAAATAATTTTCAATTGCTGCCTGTCAGCAGCGGATCAGAGTACGACAGACTTATTCGGTAGAGGAACCCAGTGCTAA